CCCCCAAATTCATATGTTGAAGTCCTAACCTCCAGCACTGCAGAATAGGACCTTATTTGGAAAGAGGGTCTTTATAGAGGTTATCGAGTTAAAGTGAAGTCATTAGGGTGGGACCCAGGACAGCATGATTAGTGCCCTCATAAAAACAGGGAACATTTGGACACAAAGACACACACAGAGGGAAGATACGATGTGAAGAGCCCCAGGAAGAGTGCCATCTACAGCCAAGGAGTGATCCTGGACCAGATCCTCCCTCCCAGTCCTCAGGAGGAATAGATCCTGCCAACACCTTGATCTTGGACTTCTAGCCTCCAGAACTGTGAGACAATGAATTTCTGTTGTTTAAGCCATCCAGTTTGAGGTACTTTGTTATGGCAGCCCTAGCAAATGAATACAGCTTCTAAGGGAGACCCACAGAGTGCCCTCCACCTTCCTCTCTATTGGAGGCTACTCTCTGGGAGTTCAGAATGGCTTTCTTACAGTTTCTTTGCTGAAGAATAGGGGACACATAGATCTATGATTTCTTATGGAGCATCCTGCAATCTAGAAATGAGTAAACGTAAATGCCGGAACATTAAGTCCCTGGGCTGGGGTAACATGGCTAGTGGAAACAGGGCTAGAGCTGGAAGCCCTCGACCTCTAATAATTCACAAACCCTTTACTGAGCACTAATGAGTCAGCCACTCTTCTAACTGCTCAACAGATGTTATTTAATTTAATCCACACAGCAGTCCTATGCAGTAGATACTCTCATTCGTTACGCCCCCTACCATTTTAATGTAAAACTAACAGACCGAGAACTGCTAAGTAGCTTTCTAAAGGTCCAGAGCTAGGAAGTCAGAAACAGAATTCAAACCAAGTACAGGTGCAGCCCTCACCAGAATGATTCCCTCCTCTGGGATCCCATGTGTACTTCACTGGTGTCCTTATTCTGGCTCTCAGCACGCTGTTGAGGGTAGGTGACCATATGCCATCCTGACAGTGATGTTCTATTTAGGCATCTAGTGCCTCATGCCTGTCACTTTGCCTGACACAGACCAGACATCAATGAATGTGTTGAATGAATGAATGAATGAATGAATGAATGAATGAATGAATGAATGAATGAGTGACATCTTCACTGCAGTGCTAGTGCAGTTGGTGGATTGTCAGATGATATCAGGTTGGAGGGCATGGGCCCATGAAGCTTAATCCCAAACCAGTGAGTCCCCACATGCCTTCCGGCAAATCTCTTAACTTCTGCATGAAGATTTTCCCCTTGGCTTGAGGGAACCTATTTTAGGTTCCCAGATGCTTTCTGGATTGATTTGTGAAGTGCTGATGTGATAAACACTGTAATTGCTTAGAGTGACTTTGACTTCCAGGCTCCCTCTGCGGTCTCCAGATCACTTTGAAATGCATTGGAAGGTATTCAAGAGTTAATAAAAACATTGAAATAGGTACCCAAAGTCCTTTGCTATCTGTGCTTCAGTTATTGTTTTCTTTTTCTTAGATTTTCCTTGACAAGCTTAAAGAACAAAAGGCTGAGAGCCACATGGATAAGCAAGGCTTCTGGCCTGGGAGCAGGGTCTTGGTTCTGATCCTGTCTGTGTGTGACTTGATGTGTGACTGTAAGCAACATGGTCTCCTCCTCTAGACTTCTCTTTCCTTAATCTAGAAAATTATGAAATTCTTCTGGATTTCTGAAGTCTCTTTTGGCTCTAATATTCTTGGATCTAACACTCAGCAAACAAGACTCTCTGAGAGGAGCTCTGTGTTGGAAGCTGTGGATACAGCAGTGAATGGGGGATGGGAGTCTGGGTGTTCATGGCTTGGGTGTTCAAGGTCCCAGGCTTGAAGGGCCCCAACACAGTGTGGAGAGGAGGAGGGGCACGAGTGGCCCAGTGCGACATGAGATGAAGGGCAGGAAATGAGGCCAGAAGTGTACCTGGATGAGGAAGTTACATTCCATCTCCTATTCTTCTGTTTCCCAAACTGCTCCTTTCTGTGCCACCATCACAGCTTTGAACTACTCTGGATGTGATGGTTAAGAGCAAGAGCACTAGGTTGCCAGTCTGATGTTTATCTTAGCTTTGCCATGTACTGGCAGTGTGACCTTGGGCAAATTATCTACCATTCTGTGCTTCAGTTTCTTCATTGCAGAACTGAGATTCTACCTCATGGTATTGTTATACCTCCTACGATGTGTTAGTCATGCCAAGGGCCTATGACAGTGCCTGGCACCTGGAAAGAACTAAAAAATGTTTGGTTGTTACTGTTATATTTGTGTACCATTAGAAATAGCATTTTGATGTATGGCTGAAAAATTTATAGCACTGAACACGGAAATTCAGGGTGTGAGGGTCCATATTTAGCAAACCATGTTATATATACAATGTGTACTTCTGAACTGTATACTTTCTAAACTATAGAGGCAGAAGTTTGGCTACTGATGTTTTAAAAGATCAATAGGCATGGCTGAAAAATGCACCTGTAATTCATGCCAACTGTCTACGGTACATTATAGTGGGATTAACTACTTAAGCTTCCCCCTAGGAAGAAATATAATGAAATTACTCGTGCAATTTCTGCTACACCTTAAAATACATGTACTACCATTGAAATTAAAATTGTTCAATCCTCCACTACCTAAAAGCAGAACAATCTTGTGGCACGCAGGGAAGAGGTGGAGAAATTTTTAAAGCAGGGACTGACATGAACAGATTTGTATTTAGAAAACTGTAGTAATATCACTTCTTTTTTTTTTGCTCTTTTCTCTATCCTCTGATGTGAATGCTTATAAGCAGAGAGATAGATAATTTGGTCTTTGAAGAAGTTAGGATTAACCTGCCTTTTTCATACACTTGCACTGTTTTACTGTTCACTTGTGGTGTATCATACTGGTTTTGACTACAATGTTTTAAATGAAGTACACAAAACCCTTAGGTTTCTCAAAGAGCTGAAGCTATCACAGGACATTTACACAGACTGTTATTTCTGTATGGAATGCTCTTTACTTGCTCTTCACTTGGCTCCTATTAACTTCAGATCTCAGTGAAGTAGTACTCCCTAGGGAAGTCTTACATGACCTAGCTTACCAGTCAGATCACCTCATTATTTACTCATCATGCTGAGTCTACCTTCTAACATTTATGACAGTTGCAATTATACATGTATTTGTGTGGACCATTTGATTAATATCTGTCTATTCCCAAGTAAAAGGACAATGTCTAATTTGGCTCACCACTTATCGTAAGTATTTTGTACAATGCCTGACACATAAAACAGAGGCTCAATATTTTTGAAATAAGTAAATGAATGAATGAAACATTATTTTTAAAGTACTTCATTTCACCTACTCCATTTTTATCATAGCACCATATGTGGAACAGAAAGAGCACAAAATGTGGACTCAGGCACCTGGTTTTATGCCTATAATCCACCTATTATTAGTGCTCTGATTCGGCCACATACTAACATGTCTGAGTTTCTGGGGCCAGGAATATCACCCATCTATACACTTTTGCTGAAATTAAAATAACACAATAGATGAGAAAAAACATCGAGTAGATTCTCTTACAAATACAAACATTAAACTATTTTGCATTCTGAGTGCTACAGATACAGAAGTTCATAGAATACTTTCTGCCTTCAAAAAAATGTGTTTTTCTTGAGCTTTCAAAACATACACACACCCACACACACACACACACTGATTACATAAGCTGTCAAAACACACACATGCATGCACAATGGTTACAATAATTACAGAATCACATAAGACAGTGTGACACAAAATGTGAGCTAGAATTCTCTGGGAATATTTTAATGCTTCTACAAGCAATGTGGCAGAGAAGAAAAGTATGGTGACTTTGAATCTAATCCCTCATTTCCCACTTAGAGGATTGAAATTTTAATTCCAACTTTGCCACTGACTGGCTGTATAGTCTTAAATAAGTCATTTAGCCTCTTTAACTTTCAGATTCCATGTTGTAAATGGGTATAATCCTACACCCCTGCAAGGTTGCTGCTAGAATTTGTGAAGGTCATGAATAACTACATGAAAAAAGGAAGAAAGACCTCAGGTCAGTAGTCTAAACTTCTACCTTAAGAAGCTAGAAAAAGAAGAGCAAGTTAAACCTAAAGCAAGTAGAGGAAGGAAATAATAAAGATCACAATGGAAACAAATTAGAGAATAGAAAACCAATAGAGAAAACCAGCCAAACCAGAAGTTGTTTCTTTGAAATGATTAACAAAGTTGACAAGACTTTGGCTAGACTGACCAAGAAAACAGAGAGAAAGAGAGAGAGAGAAGATCCAAATTACTAAAATCAGGAATGAAAGGGGATATCACTACCAACCTTACAGAAATACAAAGGATTATAAGGAAACACTATGAACAACTGTATACTAACAAATTAGAAAACCTGGATGAAACTAACAAATTCTTAGAATGCAACCAACTACCGAAACTAAATCAAAATGACACAGAAGATCTGAGTAGGCCCATATCAAGTAAAGAGAGTGAATTAGTAATCAAAAACTTCCCTCAAAGAAAAGTCCAAAACAAGGTTGATTCATTGGTGGCAAAACTTCTTTAAAGAAGAATTCACACAAATCCTTCACAAGCTTTTCCAAAAAATAGAAGAGGAAACCCCTCTTGATTCATTTTATGATGCCAATATTACCCTGAAATCAAAACCAAAGATGTCACAAGAAGACAGTCACCAATCAATATCTCTTGTAAACGTAGATGCAAGAATCCTCAACAAACTACTAGCAAACCAAATCCAACAATATATAAAGAGGTCATCATACACATGACCTATTGGAATTTATCCCAAGAATTAATGTTTGGTTCAACATACAAAAATTAAACAATATAATATACCATTAATAAAGATCAAAAACAGCATACTCATTTCATAGATGCAGCAAAAGCATTTGACAAAACCCAATACCATTTCATGAAAAAAATATTCAGCATACTGGGAATAGAAGGCAACTTCCCTAAACTGATGAAGGACATTTATGAAAAACCCATAGCTACCATCATACTTAATAGTAAAAAACTGAAATCTTTCTCTCTAAGAACAGGAACAAGACAAGGTTGTCCACTCTTACTCAATATTGTACTAGAGAGTCTAGCCATGAGAATTAAGCAAGGAAAACAAATAAAAAGCATCCAAGTTAGAAAGAAAAAAAGGTAAAAGTATCTTCATTCACAGTTTAAATGAACTTGCATATAGAGAATTCTAAGGAATCTATTACAAAAAACCTATTAGAGACAATAAACAAGAGCAACAAGGTGGCAGTTTATAAGATCAACGTACAAAATCAATTTTATTTTCATATACTAGCAGTGAATGATCTGAAGGTTAAATTATGAAAAAAATCCGTTTATGATAGTATCAAAAAGAATAAAATACTTATGAATAAATTTAATTTAAAAAGTGAAAGAAATACACACTAAAAACTATCAAACATTGCTGAAAGAATTTTTTAAGATTTTATTTACTTATTTGAGAGAGAGAGAAAGAGATCACAAGCAGGAAGAGGAGCAGAGGGAGAGGAAGAAGTAGACTCCCTGCTGAGCAGGGGGATCGATCCCAGGACTCTGGGATCATCATGACCTGAGCTGAAGGCAGATGCTTAACTGACTGAGCCACCCAGGCGCTCCTGTTGAAAAAAATTTAAAGAAAATCTAAATAAACAGAAAGACATCCCATGTTTATGTATTTGAAGACAATATTGGTAAAATGGCAATACTCTCCAAATTGATCTATACAGTCAACACAATACTAATAAAATTCTAGCTGCCTTTTTAATTTTTTACAGATATTGATAAAGCTGATCCTAATATTCAAATAGAAATGCAAGGACCCAGGAAAGGCAAAGCAGTCTCGAAAAAAACAAAGTTGAAGAGCTCACACTTCCTGAATTCAGAACTTACTACAAAGCTATAGCAATCAAGACGGCATGGTACTGGCAGAAGGTAGACATACAGATCAAGAGAATAGAAGTGAAAGTCCAGAAATAAACCCTGATCAACTGACTTTGACAAAGGTGCCAAAATATTCAATAAGGAAAAGAATAATCTTTCCAACAAATGGTGTTGATACAACTGGATAGCCACAGGCAAAATAAACTTGGACTCCTACCTCATATCATATGTAAAAAAGAACTCAAATGGTTCAAAATTCAAAATGGAAAAGTTAAAACTATGAAAGTCTTAGAAGAAAATGTACATAACCTTGAATGAGACAATGGTTTCTTAGCTATTGCACCAAAAGCAGCAAAAGAAAAAATAGAAAAATTGTACTTCATCAGTTAAAAACTTTGTGCTTCATAGGATACTATCAAGAAGGTGTGAAGACAATTTACAAAATGGGAGAAAATATTTGCAAACCATACATGTATGTGATAGAGGGCTAGTAACCAGAATATATAAATAACTATTACAACTCAATAAGAAAAAGACAAACAATCCAAATAATCATAGGCCAAGGATTTGTATTCCTATTTCTCCAAAGAAGACATGAACACATCACTTCCACTAATGTTCCATTGTTGAGAATTTATCTATACAATCACACTTAATGCTAGAAGCCTGGGAAATTTAGCACTTGGTTGAGAAGCCACAACTTTATACAGTGGAGGAAGGAGCACAGATTTTTGGTAGAGATTTAGCCAGCTTGGTCTTCTAGCAATTGTTAACCATATCCCAATTCCATCATTCAAGACTCAGAAAATTCAGAAAGTAGGTAATGCCTCAAGAATCCATTCAAGCTCAAGGTCACTCCAGTTTGGTGAAGCTCACCTTTGACCGCTCATTGTTCAGATTGTTATTTTATCCTTGAAGTCCGGAAATCTTCTCATCCAAGGCGGTTGGTATGGTGGTGACATTGGGTTTCCTTTTATCCCATATGGGATATGTAAACTCAGAGCAAGAAAAATATGTGCTTTATGTCATTTGTACATAAGTCATTTCCCCTTTTGACATCTCAGAGGCTATGAATGAAACATTTTTTTTTTCTCTTTAAATACTCTTCATGCTTCATGAGCTATAATGAAAAGAAATGACATGCTCTAAATCCATTTGATGTAGGCTCATGCAGATTGAATGTCTTGTCATTAATTATACTTTTTGATTTGTGGTAAGCCATGTGATAATAGCATTTCCCTTTTATTCTGGAAAGAAAAACTTAGAAGGAAAAAAGCAATGAAAAGACTCCCAGCCCAGTTTGGTTACATTTGGATTAGTTAGCTATGTGCTGATGCCAGTAACAAAAGTTTGACCAAATGCCCAACCAGGCAAGCACTCAGAAAGTTATTTTATTTTCAGAATGAGGTGATCCCAAACAGATTTGATCCCTACCCCCCAAAAGTAGTAAGTCTGATTCTTTGACATCAACAAAAAAGATAATATAGTTAAAAAGCCCTTTGTAGCTTTGAAAATAGCTCTCATATTCCTTATCACAGTAAGGCAGGACACACACCTTCATTCATTCACTTAGTAGTATAGATTTAGTGAGTACCTGCTAAGTGCAAGGCACTGTCTTAGGCATGGGGTTTTTTTTTTATTTCTCCATTACTTATGAGGAAACTGACAGGTAAAGCAGTTTGCCCAAGGTCATGTCAGTGGGATTAGAATTTACTCTTCTTAATTCTGGTTCTCCTGAATCAATCGTAGGCTATAATAGAAACTTCTGATTATTTGCATGTGCCACACAAAGTGACAGGAATTTTATACACTGCATCTCATCTAATCTTCTGATGAATCTTGTGAATAGATATTGTTTCCCTCACTTTACAGATGAAGAAACTAAGTCTCAGATAAGTAAGAAGACTTGCTGGAAGGCACAACACCTGTAAGGGGCAAAGCTGGCCTCTGTATCTATGTCTGTCTATGGAGAACTCCCTTGTACCTGTACTTTGCCTGTATTCCTCTCCCTCCCTGTTGATTGGCTGTGGCCATGAGGCCCTGCTGTGATTGGATAAGGACTGACACCTGATACCCGGCCAGGTTTCCTGATTAAGACCAGTGCCCTGTGCGCCATAACCCCAGGCACACTTCAAGGCACATCCCTACAGGCTGTCAGTTGCTGCCACAGTCCTTGCCTATTCAAGCTGGATCACTGACCTCTGCCTGGTTCTACTAGGTTCTAAAATCACTTGATGGCTGCCCCTAGACCTCGCCCCCATAACCAGGAGAGGTCACTCCTTCATCCTTCCCTTGTTCTTCCTATTAGCTGTATTTCTGGAAATGAGTCTTTGGTTCAATCTTCCTGGGTCAGGACTAGCAACATAATTTTCAAGGCCCAGTGCAAAAATTAACATGTAGGGTCTTTTGTTAAAAAATGTTTAAGAATTTTAGTACATTGGGGCTCCTGGGTGGCTCAATTGGTTAAGCATCTGCTTTCAGCTCAGGTCATGATCCCAGGGTCTGGGATCGAGTCCCACTTCAGGCTCCCTGTTCAGCCAGGAGCCTGCTTCTCTGTCTCCCTCTGCAGCTCCCCCTGCTTGTGCTCTCTCTCTCTTTGGGTCAAATAAATAAATAAAATCTTTAAACAAAATTTTTAGTACATCAACCACAGAACATTAAAGCAAGCATGGGACCCTTCTGAGTGTGGGAACCTGTGCAACTGCTCAGGTTACATGCCCATGAAGTTAGCCCAGAACCTGGAAGATTTTACTGAAACTTTTGCAATGACCTGGAATTTTATCATAGATTATCCCTCTGTTTTTGCATCATATCTCCTTGCTCTAACCTGGAATAGGCCTGCCTTTGCCATGGCTATTAGGACTTTGTCTCTATCTGTGAACCCTTTCCCCAGTTTGTAACTCTGGCCCTAAGTTCCCAAAGCTCTAGTAACCTACCTCCCCCAAGACCAGTGCTCACACCCCGACATTCTCATGTACACAGCTCACCTGTGCAGTTTTCCAAGCAATGACTTTGCAGGGTGTATAATTAAGGGACTGATAGGGAGAGAGAGAAGGCTGTGTATGTTTGGCAAAATATTTATAACAATTTCTGGCAGCTAGAGTAATTTTTGCTTTTTATTAAATATATCTCTGCATTCTGTAGCTGGCTCTTAACTTGGCCTGAACTTCTTGAGGGAAATTTTGGGATTTTTGCCAAACAACAACACAGAACTTCAAATTTATGTTATAAAAGCCAGCAGTGCCATCACAGACAACTTCCTTCCTTTGTTGGAGCAGTTTCAAAAAAGCAGATCACAGCATTATTCAGTAGAGTAAACCACACCCTCCACCCCTTCAATGTTACTGACAACAGCAAGGCAGAGCATGTAAGTCATATCCAAATGGAAAACATTGGCTTCAGTGCATCCTGTTGTGAAATCCTCAAGCATTGGGTTATAGCACTGACAACAAGGGAAAAATGAAGAAACATCAAGAGGGGAAAGAAAAAAATTCCAAATGCAGAAAGACAAAAGAAGGAGAAGTTCAAAAGGCCTGTGGACACTCTCTGGCCTGTGCTATGTATGCCCAAGACTCCGGTTCTCTTAAATCAATGCTAGTTGATAATAGCAACTATTTATTGAATATTTGCCATGTGGATGGCATGGGTTGATGACATATTATATTTATCTGGTCTTCTCTACAACCTTGTGGAGTATTATTCCCCTCATTTAGATGAAGAAACTAAGGTTTGGAGAAGTAAGGAGCGTTGTCCAAAGCCCCAAGTCACGGAAGTGGCAAAGCGGAATATATAGCTAGATACTCTGTGTGTCAATCCTCCATAGGATGCCCACTCCCTGTCGACTGTCTGTGGCCTGGAGATCCTGCCCCTATGGCCACAGCTGACTGGACCCAAGGGCAGCTAATCCATGAGGTGGCCAGCAGCCTATGACTTGTGTGGCCCATCTGGCTCCTCTTATGATTTTAGAATCTGGACAAATCACAGCCACTTAGCTCTGGAAGCTGAGCTTGGCACTGGTTGATGAGTTGCACTTAACAGAGGGGCAGCCATTCTGGGGCCATGTGTGAAGTGAAGTAAGGAGAACTGCAGGCAGAGAGAGAGGAAGACAGAGTAGATGCACAGAGAGAAGTGGAGATGTCAAGAGAAAGGGAGTGTAAAATCAGAGAGACACAGATAGAAAGAGAGGGTGGAGGATAAGGAGTAGGGACACAGAGCCAAAGAGAATGAAGCCTGGAACCATCCTCCATGGAACTGAAGGGTTTCATGATAGAGCCCTGATCTTGGATCCGAGACCTGGCTGAACCACAGCACCTATCCTTACAGCAATCCTTCCTACCTGAGCTTATATGAGTGGGCCTCTGTTACAACCCCCCTAAAATTCTAACTTCAACAGCCTGATGCCAAAGCTATTCTTAGTATACCTGGCTACACCCCCCCTCATGTTCTCATTCACAAGGGGACACCATGTGCTCCAAGGACAGCTGAGATGCCAGAGTTTCTGTTTCGATTGCTTTGGTTAACTTTCCACTACCACCATCCCTGAGTAAAAACTGGGTCACTGCTTCCAAGCCACTCGCTAGCAGCCCCACCTTCCCTTCCACGGCCTATCTCCAAGCTCCCGTGGTGGGAGGAGTGGCCATAACCTGCCACCATGACTATGGCAACCATCTTCTCAGGTGCTGACCTAAAGCTCGAGGGACTCCAAGGAGCGGGCAGTCAGCCTGGAACATTGCCTCTTCCCTCTTTCCTATAGGACCTCTCACCCCCCACCCCATATCAGGATGTAGGTTATGTAGAATCCAGGGATCAATCTGGACATAGAGTAAATAAAAGCAGGGGCAGTTTAGTCAAGAGATTAAGATGTTAGCAACCCCTGGCTTCTTGTCTAGATTCATCTCCTATCTTGCTATGTTACCTTGGGTAAATTGGTTGACATCTCTGAGATATGGATTACTTACCTATATAATGACAGGGATGGTGGATGACAAGAGCCAACGCCCCTCCCAGCTCTGACTTCCTAGGATGCAAGTTTAAATGCCATTCCCTTTGATTGGCATTTAGAGAAGGGGGGCCTGGGCCCTTTCTGGAATTTGTGCTTTATCATCACACCTGTTCCACCTGCAAGTATCCAAAAAGCACCTATGGCAATGCTGACTATATTGTGGAAAAAGCACTAAATCAGCAGGGAAACTATGGAAACATACTAACTGAAAGTTCAAGCAAAAGGAAGGGGAATCTTGTGTTGAGGAGAAGACTTCGTACCAGCAGCCCCATAAAAAGTGGGCAACTGCAAGGCAGAGGTTCAGGGGCATGTGCATTGCTGAAGTAGCAAATTCCAAACACATCTTTCACAGCAGGCCCGGCTTGCAGGCTTTATTTAGGTAAAACTCCCATTGAGCCTCAGCTCTCAGGGCCCAGTCTGACTCAGAGCTTCAGAATCTTGGCCTGCAGTGAGATGAGTCATGGTGATGAAATTTCAAGAGAAAGGGACATTCTTAAAATTAGCTTTGAGGCAGCAACTGGCTCTGTAAGTGCCTTTTCCAGGTTATTTTAGTTGGTGTCCCCTTCAAGGGAACCCAGAATGGGTGGGTGAATTCTACCTTTCTGTTCCCCAGCCATCAGCCCCTTGGATTCCCAATGCTCCAGGACTTGCTCCTTTCAAGGACTGAGGTACTGACACTCGGGCCTGGTCTGACCTCTTCTGCTGTGATCTTGTTGTGGTTGCAAGAGGGGATGGGGTTCTCAGAGGAGCCTAAGTCTAGCACTGGGCTGGGCTGGGTTGACCACCCCAGCACTAGAAGTCCCACCACAGAACAAAGATGGAGTGTGAGAGGGTCTCCTCTTATCCAACCTCACAGCCCCTCTGACTCCGCCAAGGCCCACTTTGTGCCTTTTGACCAAGCCTCCTCCCAGGGCAGGAAATCAAAGCTGACACTGACTTTGCAGTCGGAATATTTCCATGAGCAATGAGATGTGGATGAACAATTTCTCCACTGTTCCCTGCACAATAGTGGGTTCTGTTGAAACCAGGCAGGCGTGGCTCAGCTCCCATTTTTTATTTATCCTGATCGAGAGCTTATTCTCTTCAATGTCTCCATCCCTCCTCAGGGACATGTGTCTCATGGGTATAATTGGGGTTTCCCTCAACAATCCACATGGGCAAAGAGCTACCCAGGTCTTCAGGGAACATGACTAGAGCTACATGGAAAAACAATAGGTACAGCCCAGCTGGTAAGATGTGAGAAGGTCCAAAAGATCAAGATAAATCCATCTCCCTTTTGCTAAGTCCTTCCTATCAACGTGCATACATTATGTCATTAATTTAGTAAGAATTGACTGCATACCAACCATACCCCATCACTATGCTGGTTATGGAAAAATATTATCATGAATAAGATATAGTTGCTGCCCACAAGGAACTCATCTTTTAATACAGCGAATGCTGGTAAACAGTCAGGATACAAGCTAGCATGCTATCATAGAGGCCTATAATAATATTATGAGACACAGAGAGAAGGAATGAAAAGGTAGGGATGTGGTCAGGCTCCAAGGGAAAGGCGAAGGCATTTATCAGTAATTAAGAAAATAAACAGACAAAAAAAAATAGGCAATACCATTCTGGTTTGTGTAGCTAGTATGTCGAACAAGCATGACTCATGGCATAATAGAAATGCAGCTTTATAGTTGACTCCTCCTGTCTTGATTCTTCCCCATCCTACTCTTGCTCTCTGTTGTTTTAAGGGAAAGCCATGGGCAGAAGGAATGTAAGGGGTAGGACAGCTTGGACTTGAGTTGGCCTTTGACCACAGAAAGCATCCCTGGTGGGCCAGAGCAGGACTCTTCTCATGGGGTCATGCCATGGGTTCTTCCAAGGTCCCCTCCTGGGACCTCTGTCCTATACTTCCCTTGACCCTGACAGATGTGACTCCATTCCTGGTGCTGCCTGAGTCAATGCAGAGTAGCACATCTTGTCTTCCTGCCAAAATCCCTTCGCTCCTCTAGCAGGCATTTTCATACAAGATCTTAGATGACCCAAACCACATGATTATTCTCTCTCTGGTATGGCCCACATCTCATGCACAGGAAACGACTGCATCCCCTACTCTGAAGAACTCTGGGAGTGCATCCAAACCCACCCAGCCCTCTCTCCTGTTACTATACCTAAAGAGCAAGTCTCATCCCTTACCCCTTGGGGGCAGGAGCCAGGCACCAGTCACCAAGCATGACCAGGGCACTAGTCCCTCCATGTCCCTACTGCAAGAAGTAGCTTTCAATGTTCTCCCGCAGTGCCTCCACCCCTCCCCCAAAGGGAGAGATCAGGAGCAGCTCTTTCCAGAGGAATCTCTTCTCTAACATCCTCCTGCTCCACTCTTTCTGAGCCTTTCCTTGTCTTTGATTTGGATAAGGGTCCAGAGTCAAGGTTCCATGAGCCCTTTCCCTTGACACACAGCATCATCCAAAATGGAGGCTGACTTCACTGGTGAGACCATCAGAGTTTCCAGTCTTGGCCGACCTATGAACACCTCTGACAGGTTAACAGATGCTCCCACAAGCCAAAGGAGATAAAGATAGATCCCGGGTTCACTAGCGCATCACTAACCTAATGTCACCTCCATAAAATCTGTCCCCAGGATCCCAACAGCCAAACTCTGAGCCCTGCGTAGGATGTGAAACTGAGTCATAGATTGGTGACTCACCAGTGAGAGACCACACAATGAGTCAGGCAGAGGAGGCCGGGAACAAGCTTTTAAAATCTGAATTCTCTGGACTGCCTCTAGAGAACCCACCCTTGAAGGAGACAAGGCTTCAGGGTAAATGGGTGGGAAGGCAGGTCAAGACACCAAACTCTACATCAGAGAATGGTGATGCGCTTTGGCTTTCTGCATGGCTCACTGAGAGCCTGGGGTTTTGTGCAGTAGGTCCTAATGCGGTTTTGTAATGCCTGACCCCACTTACTGATAACAAATTCATCAGTCACCTCAGGTCTGCTGCCTGCCCTCCGTGACTCATCACTGCTCATTTCATTATCTGGCAACTGTGCCTCAGCGTTATGCGAGCCTAGATGCAGGATGACTAGGTATGGGGCGGTGACACAGAGCAGCAGTTAAAGACACAGCCTTGCCTATTACACAAACCTGGCATCACATTTGATGGGATCTTAGGCAAGTCACTTGCTTCATTTTCTCCCTCATTGAAACAGAAAGAAGAGTGCATTTGAAGGGTTGCATTGAGGAGTAAATAAGATGCTGTTTATAAATGGTCCAGAATGTAGCAAGTGCTCTAAAATTAGATAAGTATTATACTATTCATTAAGGATTTTGTTTCCATTGATGATTGTTCTTCACAATTTTGCTATTTGCTTACAAACTTAGATAATTACTTACCATTTATTTGAGCGCAGAGAAAATTAAATTTGTGCCAATATTTTAAAAAACCCAAAGAGCACATAAATTTCTTGAGAGAAGGGCTACATTTGGTCTGTTTTGTATCTGCAGGGCCTGGCAAAAAGTGCTTGGAGAGTAGGGTTATAAAGAAATAAAAGGCTGAATGGGGTGTATGTCCACACTAAACATTTTTGGAGTTGGTGTCATGCATATTTGGACACATTCATTCAAGCAAGCACCCCCATGCACAGCTCTGCACCAGACATTATGTGAGACACAAACAAAAACAGCATCGAAACCAGTACACGCACAGGTGTACTGGCCAAACTGAGGCAAAACTTGGAGCTGGGACTTGAGAGAATTGGTGACACCTACCAATAACAGGATGAGGGAGGGCGTCAGGAAGCGAGAACCTCGGAAAGAGAACTGTTTCACCCAGGGCAGCAGTGTCATGCCGCCATGCTGAGGCTATGTGGTCTTAGTCAGCTGGACCCTTCCTGGGAGCTTGCTTGGCCCCTTACTGGGCCTGAGAAGGACAAGACACAGACAGGATAGATGAGGTTCTATTGGTTCTACTGATGAAGAATTTATGACCTTGGCCCTGTCACGTCCCCTCTGAGCCTGAATTCTCTTGCCCATAAAATAAGTTGGTGGACCTGAGCTGAAGTTCTCACACTTTAGTATGCAGGTGAATTGTTGGGAGAATGTGCCTAAAATGCAGATTCCTGGGCCCTACTGCCAGATATGGATTCCCAGATCTGGGGTGCATTTTACAAGCAGCCCAGGTGATTCTAGGAAATATGGGTCTACAGGAAAGTATCACATGAGGATGCCCTTTTTTGATCAAAAAATTTCATAAGCTCTCTCCCTATAAATGTAGGTGGATTTTTATGTTGGTTGTTTGAAGAAATACATAAAATTAAAAGCTGTCATGAATTCACAGGTTGACACGCATTTGTAGTTCATCTCAATATTGGCATATATATTTGAAAAATAGTATTATATGTAGAGAAGGGAATATGTATGTACTATTTATTTAGGATCTGGACAACGTTTGGCATCCTCTGGATTAAAATGTTATGATCCACAGACACCTAAGTATATAACTTACAAACTGAAAACCACTGATCTAAGTTATCTGTAAATTCCCTCTTCAAAGCTAGTAATCTATGATTCTAATTAGAGGTCTTATGGCTAACTGGCTGAATACTGGTTCTTTTTCCTATATTTGAAATCTAATAAGGAATCTTGGCTGAGCAACCACTTCAGGTAATCCTGGCAAAAGAAAGAAAAAGTGACACTGCTCCTTTTCAAATACATCTGGTTTTATCCACTGATTTGCAAGAGGGCTGGAGAGTTTACTAAAAGAGGAACGGGGGACTTGAATTCTATTTGCCAGTGATGTTTAAATATAATGCATATGAACTGTCCGATAAGAGCCACTTTTGCCAAGAGGAACTATGGATTCTCCTGAATTGAATCATCCGTCAGAGAAAGAGGGGTTCCTAACACACCCAGGGTTAGAGGGCAATCATTTTTCCAGATCTCCATTATTAGTTGATATTGGCTACCCCATCGCAATGCACAGCTGGAAGGGGAATATATGTATGAACTTCTGCTAAACTCACCAATTCTACGTGGCTGAAGCTGTGGACCCCTGGCTGAGGGTGATATATGAGGAGCTTCCTCTTCCTTCTTGGCAGCATCCAGCCTTGGGTGGCGGCTGTCATGTTTGTCAAGCAACCACCAGCACTGATTCTTGGACACGTGTAAACATCCCTGGAGCTTCGCAGACATGTTTCAGAGGAGTTTCTGTCAAAGAGTGGTCTTCTTACAGCCAAGTAGGTAGAGGCTCAGTTCCCTCGAGACTTGGGTACACATGTAAATGTGATTGCCTCGGTGAGGTCTGGAATGTGCAGATCATAGAAATATAAGGTCAGAAACAATGTTCCCGGGGCGCCTGGGTGGCTCAGTCGGTTGAGCGGTTGAGTGTCTGCCTTCCCCTCGGGTCATGATCTCAGGGTCCTGGGGTAGAGCCCCACATTGGGCTCCCTGCTCAGCAGGGAGCCTGCTTCTTCCTCTCTCTCTCTATCTCTCAAATGAAATCTTTAAAAAAGGAAAGAAAGAAAAAGAAAGAAAGAAGAAAGAAAGAAAAAGAAAGAAAGAAAGAAAGAAAGAAAGAAAGAAAGAAAGAAAGAAAGAAAGAAAGAAAGAAAGAAAGAAAGAGAGAGAGAGGAAGGAAGGAAGGAAGGAAGGAAGGAAGGAAGGAAGGAAGGAAGGAAGGAAGGAAGGAAGGAAGGAAGGAAGGAAGGAAGGAAGAAACAATGCTCAGCAAGTAGGTGCTCTCCAGTGGTTGCTTTTTCCTTATGTGTCTTGGTTTACGGGCATTCACTACAGTGGTAACCGTTCTCAAATACAAAAGCCTGGTTCTCATGCCAGACATTAAGGCACTCACAGCTGCCCTCGCTTTTTGTGTCACTCAGTCACAGGGTGGCGGGAGGTGTACCTGAGTGAACCTTCCCTCTACAGTGTCGCTGCCCTTTGCAGATGGCGTCTACTTTCCCCGGTAACTGCTGGCCTGTAGCTTCCAAGCGGCAGGAGAGACCCTGAGGATAGTTTGCAGTGGGTTCCACCGGGCTCAGAGGCATTCTCCCTCCCGCTCTGCCAACTGGGGTCCACCCAGGCCTTGGGGAAGGCAGCTGCAAAATAGGTGGTGCGGCTGCACAGCATATTCTTAAACTTCTGCCACCACGTCAGGGAGGCAGCGCAGAATCGGTGAAACCCGGCTGTCTCCGTTCCCCGCTGGGTGGGGCGGGTACGCGGTCAGAGACCCCGGATAGTACCTAACCCTGTTTATACTGTTTCTTCCCACACATATATACTTATGAGAAAGTTTAATTTACAAATTAGGCACAGTAAGAGATTAACAATAGCTAATAATAAAATAGAGCAATTATAACAATATACTGTGATAAAAGTTACGTGAATGTGATCTCCCTCTCTCTCAAAATACCTTTCGTCACCATACTCACCCTTGTTGTGACGTGAGATGACACGGAGCCGTGTGAGGACGAGCCGTGAGGTGAAGGAGGCCCAGGCGCTGACGCAGCGCGCCGGGGCTACTGCGCACTGGCGTCTGACCAGGAGGAGGATCCCCTTCCGGGTCTCCCCATCTCTGTTGACCGCGGGTAACTGAGGCCCCCGAAAGTGAAACCACAGGTAAGAGCGGCTACTGTCATGAAGTTTTTGTAAGCTGAGGGATGTGGCTTTGGATCCCAATTCTGACACGGACCAGCGGTGCAGCCTCGGGCGGATCCCGCAGCCTCTCTGAGCCTGGGTTGCATCATCTGAAAACTGGACTTGATAGCCGTGCCTCACAGGGCTGTGGTGAGGATTAGCAGCGGTGCGTGTAGGGTGCCTGGCACAGTCATAGCTCAGGTGATGCGGTGGTATTAGGAGAGCAGAGAGGGAGGCTTACTTCAGAGTCTGCATCTCGGGACTGCGTTTGCGCTCCTTCATTCCCAATGTGCCAGGCACCATCCGGGCACTTGATTACAAAGATGCGTGAACCTCACCTCTTGTCCCCCCTCCCTTGTGCCAGGAGCTCATCCAGTGACTGTCCAGTCTCCTTCCCAGGGGCACAGACCGTGTTGACCTCTTTCTGCTTCTGGGTGGGATGGGTTCTGGATGGCCTCTGACTTGGGTTTTACTGGGAATGAAAGTAAGATGGCCACGGGACATAAACAACAGATTGGTGTGGCCCTGCAAAGCTGTCAGCAGGAATGTGAAAACAAGATCTTGGTTGAATAGCTGTGGCAAAAATTCTTGAAACATTGTTCCTCTGTTCTTAGGGTGAGGAGGAGGAGCTCTCACCCCAGATTGTGGGGGTGGAAAAATCCGTTCATTAGGGGGACTCTGTGTGCAGAGGGACCAGCCCTCCCAGGCCATCCAGCGGTTACAGCCTGGGTGCTGGGAGGCTGGGCCTGCTCTTCCCAGTAGGTGGACCCAGGCTCCAGGGCACTGGAGGAAGTTATCAACTGTCAGCAGAAAGCATTAGATTTTCTACCCTTCTGTTCCAGTCATGAGCATGTTTCCCATTATACTCTCCGTAAACAGAAAGGGAACAATCCTCCTGTCATGGCCACATTTGTTGAGCACCTATTGTAGACATTGGGTTAAGAAACCCCAACGTCGATAACCAGTCTTCTCCATAGTAAGCTCTACTACCCTCCTTTCACTTGATATCTTGCCTAATCATTCACTGAGAAAATAGATCCCATTGGGCAAGCACATTTCAATCACCACAGTAGTCAGAGTCCAACCAGAAAATAGAACTTCCCCAAGGATTCAAAACAGAGAGAATCTAAGACCAGATAATGGCTATGGAGAAGACACAAGATGGGAAAAACCAAGCAGGAGGGGATGAGGCAGCTCAGAGGTCAGCCTCAGCAGGAAGTGGCTGGCATCTTTGTCTAAAGGGGAGAAGGGTGTTCCTGGGGCCAGAATGCTGGCCTCACTCACTGAAACCAGACCACCTCCTGCAGGAGGCTGAAGCCAAGGAGGAGAAGCAGCTACTCTAGAGATTCACCCAAAGAGGGAAGGAGGAGGAGCACCCCTGCCTCTGTGTTCCTCCCACCCTATAATCTTCTATCAGCATGTCCCACTGATCACACCTGAGGGAAGCCAGCTGATATGGGAGTCGGGAATATAGGCTGCAGCCCAAGCTGTGCATAGTCAAGCAGGGAAAGGGTATGGAACATTGTCAAGGGCAAGCACACTAGGGACAGGATCATTCATGTTATAGTATTCTGTCCGCATAAACAGTCACACTCACAAGTAGGAATTATTGGTAACCCAAATGGAGGCTTAGAAGGGTTCAAAAAAATTGCCCATGGGCCCTTAAAGCTTTTATATTCTTGCATCCACCTTAATCTAAGTTCTGCCTGAGAATTAAACTCTCAAATATTGTTGGGACAGCTGGGTAAGCTTAAAGAAAGTTAGCTAGATCTATCTTTAGACTAAATCAAAAGCTTTAAATTTTTTGAAAACCACAATTAATGAGAAACATATTCATTCCAAAGAGCAAACAACTAAATAAAACAAGGCTGTGGCCTGCTGGAGCATGACAACCAGCAGGCCTTGGAGAACAAGTGTGGGGTCTCCAGGGAGGGTCAGCTCTGTGTCTGGTCAAGGCTGCCAGAGGTCTCCCCAAGTCACACGGTCATTAATGCAAGTGTCCCTGCCTGTTAACATTGCTCAGGATTTTCTACCACTATGTTAGGGATCCTTGAAGGAACCTGCAGAGGGGACTATTCCATGCCACCCTGAGCCCCTTTCTCCTGGAAGCCTTCTCTGACGCCCATGTTGGGTTACTTGATGTTCCTCTTCACTGTCCCCTCTGTATCCTATGCCAGCCTCCATCATGGGACTTGATGTACTGCTTTGTAATGGTACATTTTCTCATTTATCTGCCCTAGTGGATTGTGAGCTCCACCAGGTCAAGGCCCTAAATGGGCCCTGTGCTTAGCACAGCTCTGCACACATGGTAGATATGCAACTGAATTTTGAGGAATGAGTGTAAGGACATATAGGAACCCAGGAAATTCTTAACAGCTTGGTTCAGTGGAAAGAATGTGCAGTCAGGTGTCCATTAGACCTAGAATTACATGATAGGTGTGCTAGTCACAAACTGTGTTATCTTGGATAATCACTTGGGGTCTAAACTTAAGTTTTCTCTATTATAAAGTGGGATTAATATTGTCTTCCTTAAAGAATTGTTGTGGCTATTCAAAGAAATAGCATTGCTCAATTATAATCATTTCCCTTTTCCCTTAACAGTTTGAAAGGAAGCTACTCTGTTCTCCTCTAAAATGTTTTGGGTCACCAACAGAATTAAATATTGGGATAGATGGGCCATGGCTTTGAAGCAAGGTGATTCAGTGCAGGAAGCAGAAATCACTTTCAATAATTCAAGAAGAAAGTGATTTAATGCAGGCAGTTAGGGAAATACAAAATTACCAGAAGTGCTGAAAGAGTGAATGTCAAGGGCCAGGCCTGGACCACTGAGTTCAAGGGCATTCAGTCCACTGTAGCTGCCACGCCCACCTTCAGTCTCTATAATCCTGTGTGTTAGTTTTGTATTGCTGCATGACAATTTCACCACAAACCTAGTGGCTGAAAACAGGCATTTATTATCTCACAGTTTCTGCAGTCAGGAATCCAGGCACAGCTTAGATGGATACTCTGAGTCATGCCTCATGAAGCCACCATCACGGTGTTGACTGGGGCTGCAGTCTCATCTGGCTCCTGACTGGGGAAGGATCTTTTCCCAAGCTCACCTGATTGTGGCAGTATTTAGTTCTTTCCAGGATGTCAGAGGAAGGGCCCCAGTTTCCTGCTGGTTATTAGATAGAAGCCATTCTTAACCCCTTGCTACATGACCATTTGCTTCTTCAAAGCAAGCAGGAGAGTGTCTCCTGGGAAGATGGATGCTGCAGTCTTATACAACATAATCATATAGACATAATCCCATCACTTTGCCATATTCTGTTGGTTGGAAGGTCCCACCACCCATACTCCAGGGAAGGGGGGTCATGGGGTTACCTGAGAGTCTGCCCACTACACCTTATTTGCCAGCAGCCTTAGCAGCAGGATGATGGCTTCCCTCATTTGCCTTCCATGTTATTCACAAATGCATCTAATTGTAAAGCAGAATTTATATCTATAACCCAAGCTGCAAAGGATTCTGGAAAAATGTCATGTATAGTTTTCCAATCTCTCTAATTAGGTAAAAGGTAGAGTTGTAGTTGAGAGTCAATTCAGAATATCAATAGCAGTGGCATTTACTTAGCATGTGATATTGAATATCTGCTCTTGTGGGCAATCTAATTAATATGTTACTGCAACATGTATTGAGTACTAACTGTGTAAGAGTTAGTGTTGCAAAATGGTTAAGAACATGGGCTTGTAGTGAGGTTGCCTGGGCTTGAATTCTGGTTCTGTCTTAAAATCGTCATCTGTAAAATGGGGACCAATAATCATACTTATATAATTGTATAATCAGAGAGTGCCAGGTAGAGTCAGCATTTGATAAAGGTTAGGTATCACCATTCTTATGGGCCAAGCAATTTCCCGAGTGTTTTCCACACATTATCTCATTTGATCTTCATGATAGTGCTATAAAAATAGCTACTGTTATCCCCATTTTACAGATGAGAAAAAATCTTAGGAAGGTTACACACTGACCCCTAACAAAGGTTGGCAAAGTCAATTACTGGCAAAGTTGACAGTTCTTGGTCCTTAGGTTAAACTGCCTCCTCTTTACCCTTGGAAGATAGGTTTAATTTCTTTTTTAAGATTTTATTTATTTATTTGAAAGAGAGAGAGAGAACACAAGCAGGGAGAGCAGCAGAGTCAGAGGGAGAAGCAGGCTCCCCACTCAGCTGGGAGCCCAACATGGGACTCGATCCCAGGACCCTGGGATCATGACCTGAGCTGAAGGCAGATGCTTAACTGACTGAGCCACCCAGACGCCCCCAATTTTTTTTAATAGTCATAATGGTAATAAGGAAGAATAATGATCCCTTAAAATTGTATAGGACTTTGCAGTGTACAAAGTGCTTTCTCGCTAGAGCCTTCCAATAGAATGCTATAATGTGTATTTGTTGTTTTGCTTGAAAATATCCAATTCTGCAAAAGAGAAAAAGAAAAAAAAATTAGATAAATAAAATTCATAAAATATGTAGAAACTATGGCATGTGTATATTTAACACAGATTGAAAGGGCCAAGAGATACCTCATATTATGAGGCACGAAATAGTCATGAAACACCTGTGCACTAAATATCAGTGATATTAAAGTACGCATGAGACCTGAGGCACTAAATGTTCCAGGTACACAAAATATACACAAGCAAACAATATTTACGAGGCTGTAATTCAGCCACATAGTTAATGACACCCATTCTGACTCCATGTATCCTCTGCCACCTCCAGGCCACGACTCATAGCTTTTCAGTAGACGAGTTGGCAAGCTACAGCTAGTGGCCTGGTGTACTTGTCCCTGCATCTCTGCAAGTACAGCAAGTGTGTGTTCTCAGCTGGGGCCCTTTCCATCTGCGGGCCCCTTAGCCCAAACTTCAACTCTGGTCCTGTAACCAAACCATCAGTGGGGAAGGCTGATGTGGCAGGGAGAGAGAGAGAGATGGGATAGATGAACACAGTCTATCCCAGGATTTGGATGGTGTTCATACCCTATCTTAGAGCGCTAATCTTCCCCCCACACCCTTGCTTCTCACTGTGTGTTTTAAACTTATTTTATAATATGTGTGATTTGAGTGTCTTAATTTGGTTAGTGAGTGACTCTGTTCCATGGCCTCTGGTAGGAAGTACCAGTTAGCCTGGTAGTGACCCTGGAGGTGGCCATGGCATAAAGGTAATTTCCCACATGATATATGATGGAAGTAAGTAAGAATCGGGATCCTCTATAGATAAGGGAATTAAGAAATTTGGAGAGTGTGTGCCTTAACCAAGGTCACACAGCTATGAAGTAGATAAATTGGAATTCATACACAGATTTGTCCAACTCCAAGCCTAGTTTTTTTTGAATTCTAAATAAGATCTTCATGGCAATATCTATCTATATATATATCTCAGGGGGTACTATAAAAAAATGAATTGGATTTTTCTTGTGGGCCTCTAAAGAAAGTTTGCAAAGAAGAATTCCAAGGCTGTTCTGAGCAGTGGTGTCCAAGTAGAACAAGACAGCACTCGGCCCAGGCCTTATTTTGAAGGAGCCACACTCACTCAGCATGCCCGTGCTGGGAGAGTCCTTAAAATGGGCCTCTGGTTGAGATTGTCAGTTGCCTTTCCTCTCATCGATTCTGCAAACACAGTCTCCTTATGAGCAAGGCCTCCAGCCCACAGACACGTGGAGATTCTAGTGCTGTGAGGAATTAAGTCCAGTAAAAGGGGAGGCTTGAGCCAGAAAATGTTCTTCATGTCCTTCCCAAAGCTAGATTCCCTGACAGACAATGGCACCCTGGCAGACTTGGTCTGCATGTTTGCTCTGGCTCTTTTAACGGTTGACTTTGGGAACAACTCTAGATTGGCTTGGATATGAAACTTGCTTTCTCCAAATAAATCGTCAACTTAAATAAGCACTTTTGGGTTTTCCTTCCATCCTCTTCCTTCCTACCTTTGAAACCATGTTCAAATAAACACTGCTGGCCCAAAGGATTTTTGAGCTGTGACCAAGGCCTCTTTAGAAGAGGGAAGTCTCTTTAGTAAGGGCCGACCAGACATCCTCAAGTCATCTGTGTCAATTTCCAAACTCTTGTGGAAAACGTCAGTCTTTCAGAGGAGGAAATAGTAGGCTTCCGTGGAACCTTGCAAATAGTTTTCAGCAATCATTAGGCACTCACAATGTGTCATTTTTTGCAAATTTGCATTGGCTTTGCTCTTGTTTTCATTTCATCCTAGTCATTTTACCTCCTTCAATTGCTCACCAAATCACTAGGTTAGAAAAACATCACAAGGGGCACCTGGGTGGCTCAGTCGTTAGGTGTCTGCCTTCGGCTCAGGTCATGATCCCAGGGTCCTGGGATCGAGCCCCATGTTGGGCTCCATGCTCCGTAGGAAGGCTGCTTCTCCCTCTCTCACTCCCACTGCTTGTGTTTCCTCTCTCACTGTGTCTCTCTCTGTCAAATAAATAAATAAAATCTTAAAAAAAAAAAAAAAGAAAAACATCACAATAGTTACAAGCTCATGTTTATGAAAAGCCATAGTTATTAACATGGAAAATGAACATAATACAATTCTACATGTTTTTTATTGTGTTTTTGAGCATGTGTGTTTGCATCTGTGCAGGCACACGTGTAGACAATAAGGACAAAAATCTGGAAGGAGAAACGACAAAATGCATAAATGTGATTATGGAGGAATTATAAGTAATTTATATCTGATTTTTTTTTTATAACTCCATTACTTAAATTTATATAGTCACCTTTCATTGCCTTACCATTTTTTTAAAAGCCTATTTCTGGAGGCGGAGCAAGATGGCGGAGGAGTAGGAGACCTGGATTTCTTCTGGTCTCAGGAATTCAGCTGGATAGGGATCAAACCATTCTGAACACCTACGAACTCAACGGGAGATCGAAGAAAAGAATGGCAACAACTCTCTGAACAGAAAAGCGACCACTTTCTGGAAGGTAGGACGTGCGGAGAAGTGAATCCGAGGCGATATTCGGGAGGATAGACGGCGGGGGCGGGGCCTCCATCAGCCGCTTCTGGCAAGTGATAGAGCCGCGGAGCACAAAATCGGAACTTTTAAAAGTCTGCTCCGCCGAGGGATGTCACTCTGGTGGCTAAGCGGGGGTGGAACCCTCCGGGACAGTGTGGTCTCAGGACCCTCGGGGTCACAGAAAGACCGGGGTGCCTGAGTGCGGCAGAGCTCCCAGGTATCAGAGCGGGGAAGCCGGCTGCAGAGGCGGAGCCCAGGCGCGGGCTCTCAGCTCGGGGTTGCCATAAACCGTGATCCGCGGCACAGTCAGGCCACTGCTCTTCCAGCAGGGTCCCAAGAAGCGGCAGATCCGGGGAGACTCCCCTTCCTCCCCTGGGAGGAGCGGCGCAGGAGCTCACCGCAGGGATCTGCTGGGTTTGGAGACTCCATACCAAGTCGGGTGCCAGAGATAGAAATGCTCGGTCACAGGCCGGGTGAGCATGGGGTGCAGCTGGAGACCCGGGAGATGGGAGTGACTGACTGCTTTTCTCTGGGGGCTCACTGAGGAGCGGGGCCCCGAGTTCTCGGCTCCTCCGGGGCGGAGATTGGGAGGCCGCCATTTTCACTCTTGTCCTCCAAAGCTATACGGAAAGCTTGCAGGGAACAAAAGCTCCTGAGAGCAAACCCGAGCAGATTACTTAGCCCAGACCGGGCAAGGGCAGGGCAATTCCGCCTCTGGCAAAGACATTTGGGAACCATGGCAACAGGCCCCTCTCCCAGAAGATCAGCGAGAACAGCCAGCCAAGACCAAGTTTACCGATCAATGAGAACGGCAGAACTCCAGCGCTAGGGGAATAATGCACTTAGAATCCATGGCTTTTTTACCATGATTCTTTAGTCTTTCAAAGCTAAATTTTTTTTAACTGTCTTTTTTTTTTTTTAATTTTTCTTTTTCCCTTTTTCAACCAACATCTTATCAATCCTTTTTTTAAAAAACATTTTTATTTTTCATTTTTAGAGTCATATTCTATCCCTTCATAGTAGTTACCCTTATTTTTGGCATATATATATAAGTTGTTCTCTCTTTAAAATTTTGAGATAGTTTCTTCTAACAGATAAAAATATACCCTAAATCTCTAGTGTATGGTTTTGTTCTACTCTCCTGCCTGATCACATTCTCTCCCTTTTTTTTTCCTTTTTTTTAAAATCCTCTTCTTTCTTTTTTCAAACAACTTCTTATCAATTCCTTTTATAAAATTTTTTATAATTTCCATCTTTACAGTCATATCCCATCCCTTCATCATATCAGCCCTTATTTTTGTATGTATTTAAGTTTTTCTTTCTTTAAAATTTTGGCAGGCACTTTCTCCTAACAGACCAAAATACACCCAAAATCTAGTATGTGGCACTGATCTATGCACTAGCCTGATCATATTTGATCATATTCTGGTTTTTTCTGTTTTGTTCTGTTTTTGTTTGTTTTTATCTTTTTTTTTTTCTTTTTTCTTCTTTTTCTTTTTTCTTTCTTTTCCCCCAGCTTCAGGTCTTTTCTGATTTGTTTAGAGTATATTTTCTGGGGACATTGTTACCCTGTTAGCATTTTGTTCTCTCATTCATCTGTTCTTCTCTGGACAAAATGACAAGACGGAAAAAATCACCTCAACAAAAAGAACAAGAGGTAGTACCGACTGCCAGGGACCTACTCAATACGGACATTAGTACGATGTCAGATCTAGAGTTCAGAATCATCACTTTAAAGATACTAGCTGGGCTTGAAAAAAGCATGGAAGTTATTAGAGAAACCCTTTCTGGAGAAATAAAAGAACTAAAATCTAACCAAGTCCAAATCAAAAAGGCTATTAATGAGGTGCAATCAAAAATGGGGGCCCTAACTGCTAGAATAAATGAGGCAGAAGAGAGAATCAGTGAGATAGAAGACCAAATGATGGAAAATAAAGAAGCTGAGAAACAGAGAGATAAACAACTACTGGATCACGAGGGCAGAATTCGAGAGATAAGCGATACCATAAGACGAAACAACATTAGAATAATTGGGATCCCAGAAGAAGAAGAAAGAGAGAGAGGGCCAGAAGGTATAATGGAGCAAATTATAGCAGAGAACTTCCCTAATTTGGGGAAAGAAACAGGCATGAAAATCCAAGAAGCACAGAGAACCCCTCTCAAAATCAATAAAAATAGGTCAACTCCCCGACATCTAATAGTAAAACTTACGAGTCTCATAGACAAAGAAAAAATCCTGAAAGCAGCTCAGGAGAAGAGATATGTAACCTACAATGGTAGAAACATTAGATTGGCAACAGACCTATCCACAGAGACCTGGCAGGCCAGAAAGGACTGGCATGATATATCCAGAACACTAAATGAGAAAAATATGCAGCCAAGAACACTATATCCAGCTAGGCTGTCATTAAAAATAGAAGGAGAGATAAAAAGCTTCCAGG